CTTAACCCACCCCCCCATTAAACCAGCTCACCCCAAGTCTTCCGCCCTGTTAAACCTGGGTTAAAGCTCCCCTGATCCTGTGACCACTTTAAACCGTTCCTTAAAGCTCCTCCCGCACCTGCAGCCGAGTTCAAACCTTTGTTAAACCCCCCCTCTCCATTAAACCTTCACTAGAGCTCGCCCCAGGCCTTGGGGCCTCTTAAACCTTCCTTGAGTCTCACCCTGAGCCCACAACCCCCTTAAAACCTTCATTCAAACCCATCTTAAGTCTCCAACCCGATTAAAACCTTCATTCAAACCCATCTTAAGTTTCCAACCTGATTAAAACCTTCATCAAAACCCATCTTAAGCCTCCAACCCCATTAAAACCTTTGTTTAAACCCATCTTAAGCCTTCAACCCCATTAAAACCTTCATCAAAACCCATCTTAAGCCTCCGACCCCATTAAAACCTTCATCAAAACCCATCTTAAGCCTCCAACCCCATTAAAACCTTCATTAAAACCCATCTTAACCTTCCAACCCCATTAAAACCTTTGTTAAAACCCATCTTAAGCCACCAACCCCATTAAAACTAGTTCTAAGTCCATGTCCCACTTAAAACCTTCATTAAAACTGGTTCTAAGCCCACGGCCCCCTTAAAGCCTTCATTAAAACTCATCCTAAGCCTACGGCCATGTTCAAACCTTTGTTAAAACCCATCTTAAGCCTCCAACCCCGTTAAACCCTTTGTTAAAACCCATCTTAAGCCACTAACCCCATTAAAACTGGCTCTAAATCCATGGCCCCCCTAAAACCTTCATTAAAACTCACTCTAAGCCTATGGCCACCTTCAAACCTTCATTAAATCACATCTTAAGCCGCAACCCCGTTAAAACCGGTCCTGATCCCACGGCCCTGTCACAACCCTCATTAACTCTCACCCTGAGCCTACAACCCCTTTAAAACCTTCCTTAAATCCCACCTTAAGCCCCCACCCGTGTTACAACCTTCCTTAAACCTCACTTTAAGCCCCCAGCCCCATGAAATCCTTCATTCAAACCCCGCTCAAGCCACCGGCCTCATCCAAACCCCCTCACTCCCACCCCGAAATCGCGCGTCCTTCACTCCGGAGGCGATTCCTCCGCTGCTATTCCTAATCCCAAGCTCGGAGCAGCTCCAGCTGCTCACCCTGGCTTTGGTTGTCCCCAAATCCCTGTGCTTTTCCCCCCAGAACCACCTCCTGGCAGCCCGCAAAGCCTTTGATGCCTTCTTCTCCCACTATCCCTATTGCTACGGCTACTGGAAGAAGTACGCGGACATGGAGCGGCGCTTCGAGTGCGCCCG